TTCCATGAGTGCCACCGCTTACGCGGGTCTCGTTAGGGCTCCTACGCAGGTACCTCTTTTACGTAATTAATTTTCCTTTCGTTCTACTAATATACTTAGAAGGATGGTCACATTGGCCGATGTCAGACTCTGCGATTGGAGCGATCGGTCAAATGTCAATCGCGCGATCGTCGCGCGAATCGCGCGATGGTCGCGCGATTGACATTTGACCGATCGCTCCAATCGCAGAGTCTGACATCGGCCAATGGCTTCTCTACTACAAGTATCTGTTGTTTTCCTGACTTTATCGTGAACAGTTCTCAGAAACTTCGGGGTTTCCCGTCCAGTCATGGTTTACCGAAAACATTCAAATGGTCACGAAAACGGAGAAATCCTCCAATGGCCGATGTCAGAGTCTGCGATTGGAGCGATCGGTCAAATGCCAATCGCGCGACCATCGCGCGATTCGCGCGACGATCGCGCGATTGACATGAGTCCCATCATGACCAATGGCCGATGTCAGAGTCTGCGATTGGAGCGATCGGTCAAATGCCAATCGCGCGACCATCGCGCGATTCGCGCGACGATCGCGCGATTGACATGACTCCCATCATGACCAATCGCTCCAATCGCGCGATGGGCGCGATCACTCCCGTTGTGGCTGGCGCGCCCCTCTCGATCGATACGTTGACTGAGGTATCGATCGAGAGGGGCGCCCAGCCACAACGGGAGTGATCGCGCCCATCGCGCGATTGGAGCGATTGGTCATGATGGGACTCATGTCAATCGCGCGATCGTCGCGCGAATCGCGCGATGGTCGCGCGATTGGCATTTGACCGATCGCTCCAATCGCAGACTCTGACATCGGCCAATGCTCAATGCACCAACAAACGTTGTTATATGTAGCCTTGATTATTTTTTGATTTTGTGTCGCATCTAGGGTCAAGGGGTCCGTTGGAATATTTCCAACGGTCGTACTTGGGCTTTCAAGAGGGAGCGATATGGTGGAAGGAGTGGAATGGTTGTTTTTGCAGGGTAAGGGCTGTTTATTGGAGTGTAGGGACGAATTCGTAGCTCTTGTCGGGTACCTGTAATGTGCTGAAATGGACAGAAATTTGTGGAATTCGTTGCCTCCAAAACTGTAAATTCCTTCTACACACATATCGCTCGATAGCGATGGCAGTTTCAGAGATTTTTTTTGGGGGGGGGGGGGGTTGCCTGCGTACGTTGGGGAAGAGGGACTCCTTCGAGTAGGTGGAACCCCTGATCACAAATTGTTCCTGAATGGTTGACCCTGATCGCATCTGCTCAGATTTTAGCTAATAATGATTAATACGTAAAGTCGCTGCAGCAAAGGTGTTGCTACTAGAGTTTTTGAATAAAATTTACTGTTCGACGTCAACTACCAAGTTTTCCGCCAGAAGTGGTGAGGCGGCATTCAAACACTTTTTAGAGCGGCTTGTCTGGCATATTTTGGAAATGATTGGAAATGACCTCAAGCGTGACAACGTTAGTCTAATTTTAGGTTCATGGTATCGAAGGACGTTACGCATCTGCCCTCTACTCTGCTGCCTACAAGCAGAAGAGCCTCGACCAGGTAGACAAGGATCTTCAGAAAATCAGATCAATTTTTCGAGAGGAACCAAGCTTTAGAGTAAGTCAGTATTGTCATTCTTTGCTACAGTGTTGTGAACGGATTAAGAATTCTATTTTTAAGGAGTTCGTCATGAATCCCACTCTAAAAAGATCGAAAAAGATGACTATTGCTATCGAAATAGGCAAAAAACTCGGCTTGTCCAACGAATCAACTAATTTCATTGGTAACGATTATTTGATTCTTTCATTCCTTTTCTCTGTACATTGCACTTTCCGTCGGTTTTTAGGTTGATTTCATTATTCTTTCTCTTTATTTTGAACGTTCCGTAGCTCCTTTAGTACTTATTTCTCATCACAGGTTTGCTGGCTGAGAACGGTCGTCTCAGCAAGTTAGAAGCCGTTGTCGCATCATTCGAAGATATCATGAGAGCTCACAGAGGCGAGCTGTTCTTTGAGGTGCCTTGACTCTTTCAATTCTTTTGCAATTTCACGACTTCTCTCATTCTTTTAATTTTTTTTCAAGCGTATCACTGGAAAGCTAGCTAAATGATTCCTAGATCGATTAATTTTTTTGTCTGTATAGGTCACGTCTGCTGAGCCACTAACCAAGTCTCACGAATCCGCTCTGAGCGATGCGCTACACAAGGTAAGGACTTTCATTCCAGTTAGTTAATACCAATACCTATGTTTTACATCAGTGTTTTGTTAATCCTTTCAGATGGCAAAATCTGGACAAAAGATAAATGTGACCTACACTGTCAAGCCATCGATTATGGGTGGCCTTGTAGTTACCATAGGAGATAAGTATGTTGACTTGTCGATCGCGTCTCGTGTCAAGAAACTCAAGGAAGTTATCGTCGCCTCTATTTGAGGGTAGTTTAGAATTTATAAATAAAGTTGTAGAGCGATCGGTATTTTCAACACATTGCTTCTTATCTATTGGTCGAGGTTTCATTTTTTTCCTTTTCGTCATTCCATGTGTGTCCAAACATAACAAGTAATCGCTTGGGGGTGTCACTTGAAAATTGTTTGTTGTATGAATGGGTCCGGTTCTTTGTTAGAAAAATTACCGCACACATCTAAAGAGTGGAAGTGTAATTTTGGGAAGAGGCTGGACCTAGGTTTCATAAAGTTCGCACTGATATCGCCATAAGTTATTCAAGAAAGTCAGTAGGTAGCGGGAGCTCGGGTGAAATCATCAACGTTATCGTACTGCTTTTATAGATCTTCGTGTAAATCGATAAGTTCCTCAATCACTTCATTGCTGGGAGGATGTGTGTATAGCTCCAAATATGACATAACATATATAACCAAATATGTAAAAAAAAGGCTCATGAAGATCAACAGGTATGAGAAGAACGGTAACAGGAAACAGAAGTTACATGATCAGCCATATCACCAGTCGGTCACATGCAGCTGATCGACGGACCAATCTTCAAATGAGCCATCTGGTAGGTATCGTCGAACAATGATTGGAATACGTCGATGTTTTAGCTCCTTGCGAGCAATTTCCAGTGGATCCGTTTCTAAAATTATGCATTTTAATCTTATTGCGTTTGTTTTTAAGATTGAACATTAAGTTTGTAACGAACATGCCTTCAGAAAGGAGCCTGAATAAGCTCCTCCTTTCGTTTACGTTCCTTCTGTGGAATTTTGTAATCTGGGGAATCCTCACCTCACCAATGGATTGATAACTCACACACTAATCGAAGGTACGAATGGAATTTGTATCCATTACGATTGACCAAGAGCTGGAAACGGACCCTTCCCGCATAACTTCGATACAATTAAGAAAGAAAAACCATTATAAACAAAATAAATAAAATGGTTCGTTTCGCTCCTTCCTCAGACGAACCTTATTATTTCGTCAATCCCCGGAGCTCATCAGTGAGTTGGGATTGGCGAAATAAAGACACAGGGGAAAGACGAATAAACCTTGAGTAGACGTACAAAATTATCATGCAGAGGAGCATGCAATGAAATTAATTGTATATTTACTAAAATGAATTATAAATTAAAGTCATTTTTTCTTCCTATATGAAATTATCTTATTCATATCCAGTTTTATTTTTTCTAAAATAAAAACAAGACTTATTGAGCCTGGCAGTGAATGGTATCAGTACACGTAAGTCAAAACAGGTATATAAGCGGAATCTGCGGAAATTCGTATAAAGAAAAGCTTGAGTCTCCCAAAAACTCCTCAAACCTCACGAATCCTACTCCCATCCCCCATAATTACAGTTTAGATTATGCAGCCTCAATTACGTCCAAGATCAAAGATACTCCCGGCTCACCCTAAATACTATTTATTGAAAAACCCAAGCAAATGAAAAAAAAATTCAAAGAAACAGCCTCTTCGAGAGATATTGCTCACCTCCTTCCAATTCCACCATCACCGGTGCACCCATAGCAATCTGAAGAGCACGTGTACCAAGAACTCGAGCGCGTTCATACTTCGTCATGAATGGTGTCGTCACACGGTCTGTGGATGCTGTTCCTTTCTCTGCCTAAAATGTATTGCCTACAATCTTTGTTTGGATTTACTCAGTCTCAATTTCACAATGCAATAAAAAATAACCTACACTTATAATATCAATGCGGTGATCATCCTGTTCGTCTTCTCCCTGTTCCAAATCTACATCTTCAACATCATCATCGACGAAATCGTCATTGTCCATATCTTGATAGTCATCATCATCTGCCATGGTGAGACCTAATCAAGGAAACCTCGTGAAGTAGTCATTCCAAATTACAACAGCATAAAGTCAATGCAAACAAGTATAGATATCGAGGGATGAGTAACCAACAGCTAACAGATAAGTAACCAAACCAGTTGAATAATAGTTTTCTTGCAAACACAACAACTGGCTCACAACAAGTCTGAGCCTCAACAATCACACATACAATTTCAACATAACAATAAATCTATATCTTCTAATCATCAAGCGCTAATTGTCCTGCAAGAACATCTTCTTTGCTCATTGGTCGTATAGAGCGGCCACCCTGGAAAATTCAAATTTGTGAACGAGCCTTTTTCAGTTGACTGCACTGTGCCGCAGTCGCACACTCTTGCGACACACTTGTTTACGGTAGCCGAGCGTTTCAGAATTGAAGATTTACAAACATATGTGGAATGGGACAACATTAAAAGTCTACGTGATATTGATTTTTTGGGTCCAACGCCACGTGCACTACTAAGTCTGAATTGCGACAGCCCGGCCGCGCGGAATAAATTATACATATCAATTGACAAAATTATCGATAAATTGATTGTCTAGTTAATTCTAACTATCACTTCGCAGTTTTCTTTGGGGTTGAAAAGCATACATAAAGTAGTGCACACCTGAGTAACAACTGATGGCTTGCACATTTCTTGTACAACTCCCATTGGATTCCAATCCTTGCCAATAGGCTGTGAGACCATCGTTTCGAAATCCACCACACTTGTGTAGGGGAACGGAAGACTAGTTGGTTGAAACTTGCTTATACTCTGGAAAATAATAAATAAGGCACTTATATTAACACCTTGGAGCCCACGCAGCCCATATGTGGGCTGCAGCCCTCCGACCGCATAGGACCTTTCAGCTCGCATTTCGGAAACAATTATTAGGTTTTTCA